TTATAAATGTATTAATGTGGGTCAGTGCTGTGTACACAGCAAGGGGCGGATGATGAAGGGCTACATGTCTAGACTGAAATAAACTGACCTCGTCTTGCATAATGGATGGTAATTGGAGGAAGAGGGGAATTCTGTCCAGCAGTCTCACCTGCTCACTATATGGTTTCCCTCTGATAGAGCTGAGGGAGATGCTCCAGTATAGGTGAATTCAGTCTTAGTGGTGCACAGCTGTGAGGACGACATGTATCCGGCCACATTGATCCCAGTGTGGAAAACTGAATCGGTGATGTACAGAGGCAGCTATGGCTACACCGGAGCACGTATCACATAGCCAAACATGCCGAACTGAACATGGACTCACATACAAAAACTCATTAAGTCCAGTCGATGAATGCAAGCATCACTGACTGCATACAAGATTTTTGCCTTTGGTGTCTCATTATGCGGATAATGTCCTTTCTTGTTCCACCAGATTAGGTCTGGCGTTCAGGGTCGGAGTCCTTTTGCTTTGCATGATCAGAGAAATCACATGGATTCAGTCATCGGAACACGGATCCATACGTCATCGATTCATTCTACAAAGTAATTATACATCTAAAGAGGCTGCAGAGTTAAGCTATTGTGCAATGACCGGCGTTTGAAAGGTGCAGCTGCTTTTTTATTTCACTATCCGTTGTGGAGCAAATTCGGGGACGCCATTTGTGACTTTACGTCGAAATGCTGAAGGTCAAGGATTCAAGGATTACGGATTTGTGGTGGGCAGTGGGTAATACCCTAAAAGCTGATTGTGGCTCCCTGAGGCGGGCAGGCGGGCGGGGCTGTCTGTCATTACCCATAAATGAAGTTGATTAGGCCAGACTGTGTCTCCCGTCCATCTTGGACACTTGCCATATTGCCCCCGCCAGCCCAGCTCCGCTCAAACTCCGCGACTGCTTGACCTCCCAGAAACCTAACCCCGAGGCTCCTCGCTGCTCCTCCAGGCACCTGCCAACCTTTCACCTCGTCACGGGGTGAGCATCTGGACGCTGAGGAGGGACGGACAGGGAGGTCAGGGTGGGCTGTGGCGAGGTATTGACACGGTAACAGATAGGACCGAGGAGCCGTTAGACTTCAGAGAGGTGGTCGGACTGCTTTTTTCTTTTTTTTTCCAGATCAAACGCCGACTCCCCCGCCTCCATTTCATGTTCTGTGTATGTCTGTTGGTGTCAATTACTCCACGTCTGCCTGTTTTCTTTCTCTATTTCCCTTCGTCCTGTCTTTCCTTTAACGGTGCACGCAGGCCGTGATGTATGCACAGCTGGGCCTGACAGAGCCGTCCAGGAAACGTGTGGTTTACACATCCCCTGTTGACATACTGATTTGACTTGCCTTTCACTTTTTCGGAGACCTGGAATTTTTTACTGTGCGGGGGATATTGAGGTCCGACTCAGCAAGTTTGACCTCGGCGGAAAAACCACTCAAAGTGCGCCGCATCTCGACTGACTGACTGCCTCGCTGAGTGGATGTGTCACAAAGCTCAATCCAGAATCATGGTTTCTAACCACGCATGCAGCGGCCCCACACCTGCTCACGCCATTTGGTACAAAGAATTTAGTGTCATTAGTCTCGCTATAACGCTATCCCACACCTTGGTTTTATGGAAACAGTAATATCCACGTTGTTAAGTTACAGACATATATCTGAAGTCGCGCCAGCCTTAAAGTTACACATTTGGGCCAAAAGCTCTGTGATATAGTTCGGTCTGCTTCACTCGCTTGATTCAAAAGACAGAATTTTATAGGTCAGAACCGGTGAACCGGGACGAGACTTGCACATTCTTTGTTAGTTAAAGAAATAGTTCTTGCAACTTATTTACTTTCTTGCCAGAAGTCAGATTAAAAGATTAATACCACTGTCTTGGCATAAAGAATGGAAACAGGAGGAAGCAGCCTGCTGTGCGTTTAGCAGCCAGCCAGGCCTCTCATTTAACAAAGCTGGAGTATGTGCATTCCCCGACCTGCCCTCGTTCTGCAGCGTTCGATGTGAGAAGATGCTTTAATTGTACAACTGTGCTTTGCAAAATGCACTACATGGTCGTTGCATAATACCCGCTGCATGATTTAAACGGAGAAAACAAAGTGTAGTAGTCAAATCCAATAGAGTAGTCACCGGAGTGTAAATGTTAAACTGAATTAGCCTCGTGTGTCGTCTCTCACGATTCCAGTGCACCGGGTTACAGTATGTGACCATATGGGCTCCGCCTCGCATTACTGTCACCCCTCATTTATTATAGTGAAGGAAGATGGCCCCGCTATGCCCCTCAAATCCTCTTAGCCAACATTTAGCTGATTGATTTTTTTCCCCTTCTACCTCGATTCAGATTATCAATGTGATAAAAGCAGGAAGTTGTATATTATTAATGCCATTCAGACTCGGATGGACGCACGAGAACAGAGACACATAAATGTTTCAGCAGTCTGGAAGAATAATGTCAAGGTGACGTTATTGAGTTTACAGGCGGAGCGAACTCGGTGAAAGAAACAGGCGACGTGATTCAATTGTTGCCGCGAAATAACCCCGTCGCACACGGAGAGGGAGCGGGTTACCGGCGACATGAGCATCATCGCCTGTTGTGATTTTAATGTAGGGGTCCATCCTTGTGAAGATGAATAATTAATCGGCCTCCTCGAGTCAAACTTTCGAGCTTGCATCCTGAACTAGCATCAAACTGACGGCTTCTGTTTTGTTTCGCCCGCTGCCCGCTTAGTTCCAACTACAGGCCTCAGTTTTTGACTCAGCGAAAATAGCATCGGGCTGGTCCCCCCCCATAAACCACGCATTTCACTCCAGGCTGCAGAAGCCACACTGTGCCTTCAACAAACAGATCAGGTCTTTTTGAACGTGCGGTTTAGCTCCATGTTGTTTAAGACAGTCGGGTTAGCGGATTCCAGCGGGCTCTGTCCTATGTGTTCTCCAGATGGCACCGCACACAGATTGTATATGGCTCCGAGATCCTTCATAGGTTCAGACGACCCCCCCTCCTCCTCCTCCTCTGTTCTCCTGCCTCAGCTATACTAAATGATGATCATGGAGATTATGTATTGGTAATTCCTGCCGGGTCTTTAAAAGAATGCCCATGCTGTGTGCTTAATACTCGGTGGAGGGATTATGCAGACCCCTACATGTGGTGTTGTGGCTGCATACCTCCAGTCAGACTAAACCCAATCTGTTACAGATTTGGACTAAAGAAGAGAGGTGCAGCGAGCACAAGGGGGCGGGCGGAGGGTTGTGCGGTACTGTATTCATGCTTTACAGTACATTCCACTTCTTCTATATCATTGGGGATCAGAGCTAAACCTCCCTTTGGAAGCAGTATTTTTTTATCTGGGTGTATTAGGATGTTAAGAAAGAACCTTGGCTTGTGTCAAGGCTGTGTGCTTTATTATTTTTTTTTCTCCTCTCTTTTCTTTCTCCGTTTTTATTTTCCCTTTGTGGTCGAGGCAGACCCAAATCCCCGTACAGTTTCCCCCTTGAATGTGGGTCCAATTAAACACATATGTGGATTTTCGTATTGAAGCTCATAAAAGGTAAACTCGGGCGATTTACATTACATTTACATAAGGAATGCTAAGTGCCTGCACATGTGAGGTGTTAATATCGCTATCAAAAGCAGATGGTCCTCAGCCGTTCATTACTCTGACCCGGGGTGTTTCATTCAGCAGGAATCTCATAGGAAGACGTATTATTTTTGATATGCGGAAAACTCCACACGCCTGTTGTTTCCTATCAGAAGAGGCCAAACATGACAGCGTTTGGAGGTATTTGTGGCATGTACCAAATCTGGATGTGGTTGCGATTAGCCAATAGGTGGCGTCCTTTTACAGAACCGATCAGTACATCAGAGGCCACCTGGGACTAAAGGCCAAGCGCTCCATGTCCGTTATTATGGGAACCTTTTATTGCGTGTGTGTAAACAGTAAAGTTTGATTTACTGGTAATTCCTACACGTAATTCCTTTATATACAAGAGACCATTTGGCAACGAACGTTATTCTGAACTTGGCATGAATCATTTAGTTGGACTTTACGACGGCGATCCAGATCAGCCAACATGTGTAAAGGCTTGTGTGCCGTTAACTGAATGATTTATGATCGTGGCCATCGCTGCTCTGTCAAAGTGAAGCAGTTTATATACGGTTATAGGTTTTTATAGGTTAATATGTCAGCGATTCTTACTTCTAATCCCCTGTTTTTCTTCTTTTTGCTTTTTGTATTAGCATCATTAGAGCTGCACACGAGGAATCGAAGTTGTCAACTATTGAATTAATCAACATGACTAATAGTTTGAAGTCTCTGTTTCCAGCTTCTTAAATGTGAACATTCTCTGGTTTCTTTGCTCTACTGTGACCATTAACTGAGTATCTTTGTGTTCTGGACAAAACAAGACATCCAAGGACGCCATCTTGGGCTTTGGGAAACATTACATGACCATTTTTCACCATTTTCTGACATTTTATAGATCAAACGACTGATTAATTACGAACATCATGAACAGATGAAGCAAAGATGGAAATAATCATTAATCGCAGACTGAAATATAATTATATGGTAACATTGGTGGGTTACACAGTCCTCAAGCAGTAACTAAAACAGAACTACCTTCAGTTTAAGCAAAGCTATAACAGGACAAGCAGGTGGCACACGTTTAATGAAATATATATGAGCTAATCTAGAATTTAAGAGAAAATTAGAGATTTTTTTCTGGATTTAAACAACACATATCAATATCTATGTTTGTCAGTGTTCTCTCACAAATATCACAATGACAATGGGTCCAATCTTTCCCAGAAGAAAAAAAAAAAAAAAGTTCTGATCCCTACAATACCTGCAGTGCGTTCAGATGAGGTTAAAACAAGCCTGCAGTGTTTTCTTGTATCTTGCTGCACCCTAGTGGCCAAACTGTGCCAACGATTCATCCACAGAGTCGAGATCCCGAACAACAAAAAAAAGAAGAAACAGAAGTTTGTTTTGTAATTTAAACAATTTGAATTTATTCCGTGTTTATTTCCTTAATCCATTTTTCTTTAGCAAACATTCTGCCAGCAGGTGAAGTTCTACATGGAGTTAATCTGCTTTTCTTTTCAGAAGAGGCGCGGCTCATTAACTTACAATCAAGCGAGGTTAAAAACAACAACCAAAAAAAAGAAAAGAAAGTATTGTTTGCGAGGAAACAACTTTATACCGTCAGCCGGTCGGCGCTGTTATCAGTCAGACCACACGCTCCCGTGCACACAGGGGATAAAACACACACACACACACACACACAGACATCATCAGACTCACATATTTGAAATACAAAAACAGCAATGCACAAACAGAACTGTGGAAACTAGTGATTAGCTGTGCATCAGAGGTATAATTGGAGCTTCTAATTACAGTATTGCCTCATTGTTCCTCTCTACCTCTAATTTAGCGCATTTACATCCCAGAAAAACAACAACTTTGGTCGGGATCGTAACGGCTGAGTGACTAGCATTAGCTGTGGTTCAACACAGATTTAGTTATAGATGCAATAAAATAGTCTAGGCTTTTGTGTTTTTTTCTTTTTTTATATATATATATTCACATAATGTTCATATCTCTAAGACAAAAGGGAAACATTAAGGACGTAAAAGCTTCTACGGGAGTGACAGAATCGTGTGGTGCCGTATCTACATTAGCTTTATAAATGTATGCAATATAGCCTGGCTACAAGTGCAAGCATCAACGATCTCATTACATATCAAGTGCCGGATACACCAGACACTACTTAAGCAATAATTCTTGCAAAACTGCATATAACAAAAATGTAAGAAACATAATTACATTGCATATTTGTTGCTATAGAAACGTTTTCTTATACAAGAAAATGAAATACAAAACAAAAAAATCGCTGAGATGTCTAACTTCTTTTTTTCTTTTTTTTTCTTCGCTCTAGCTGAGTAAATACTTCACAATTATCAAATACATTCCCAATTACAACCTCAGATCAGGCATCAGTTGTTGTTGTTTATGTTGGAGACTCGGGGTTGGATGGTCACCCGTCTGACCGGAGTCTGATCGGCGTTGCGATTGGCTACCAGCTCCTGGAGCTGCAGGGCCCCTCCGCCGATGAAGCAGAAGGCCGGGCACACGGGGCCCGAGCAATCCACGTGGCCCTCCCACAGGGGCCGCAGGGAGTGGGCGTCGTAGAAGGTGACGCGCCCCTTCTCAAAGTCAAGGCACACGCCGAGCCGGGGCGGCAGCGGGTAGGTGAGGCCCGAGGGCGAGGAGGGGCCGTTGCCGTTGGTGATGGGGTCTCGGATGCCGTTGCCGTGGCCGCCGTGGTGGTGGTAGTTGTGCTGGGGCAGGTAGATCTTACCCATCCCCATAGTGAGGAAGCAGAAGGGTGGAGCGGAGTCCAGGGCGTCTTCTGCCCCGCTGTCGTGCCCGCTGTCTGGGTCGTAGCTGCAGAGAGAGAGAGTTAAGAGTCAGGAAAATTCAGTGTGACCAAAGTGTGAGCTCGCCTGAACTGTCTGGACTAAAAACTCTCTCATTTTGTTCTGCTTCACTTCATCAGAGTCAGCCTTTGCAGAGAGAATGTTCACATGTTGTGCTCTGATCTGGGAGAGGTTTAGAGCTGCAGCTGGATCATTACAAACACATCATTATCCTGAAAGCGCTTCTTTGTTGTTGTTTTTTTAGGCGAACCTGAACATTTTTGTGCCATCTTCATCCACTCTCAACCAGTAACATATATACTGATATTTACACACCCAAACAAATCTGATGATGAGATTACAAGTCAGATTTATGCATTTCTTTTCACTCCAGCGTTTCCTTCCTGTTGCACAGTTTGTAGTCCAGACTAGTTGATGGTGTTTAGGCCGTAAATGTCCAATCAGCAGCCCAGAGTCTCCACAAAGACCAACACTTCTGGTGCTATTTAAGCTGTTGCCAGAACTTAAATGTAAAGCAACACATGGCCTCCACCGCTTTCCTCTATCGTCCAGAGCTGTGATGTCCATCAGTTGTTTGCTTTTAAATAACCTGTAGTTTAACTTGCTTTCTCATCCTCAACTGCTCAGTACATCAGAGGCCACCTGGGACTAAAGGCCAAGTGTTCCATGTCCGTTATTATGGGAACCTTTTATTGCATGTATGTAAACAGTAAAGTTTGATTTAATTCCTACACAGCCCTGCATACACGTCATGCTTTCATATACAAGAGACCATTTGGCAGCGAATGTTGTCCTGTGGAGTTCAACAACTTGGCATGAATCACTTAGTTGGACTTTACGACGGCGATCCAGATCAGCCAACATGTGTAAAGGCTTGTGTGCCGTTAACTCAATGATTTAAACTCACGGCTATCGCTGCTCTGTCAGAGACAAACAGTTTATGTACGGTTGTAGATTTTAATGTTCTTACCTCTAATTCCCTGTTTTTCTTCTTTTTATTCGAGTTTAACGATTAACCAAACAACTGATTAATAGTTTGAGGCATTTTTTTGAACCAAAAAAAGTCCCAATTTTCTGATTCTACCTTCTTAAAAGTGAAATATTCTCCGCTTTCTTTGCTCTTCCACGACAGCTAACTGAGCATCTTTGGATAGTGGACAAATCAAGACGTCAGCGTCGGTTCAGGAAAACAACAAATGACCATTTTTGAAATTAACAGCTACTACAAATGAGTCAGTTTAGTTTTGCTTATTTATTTCATTCCACCAAAATGCACGACAGAGCGCCACAGAAAATCATTCCTGACTCAATAAAGTCACTCTGGATTCATTTTGTTTAAATCCTATTCACTTCTTCTTGAGCTGACAATCAATAATGTGCAATTACAACTTCTCTGTGCCATAATACTAACATAATTCTATTTTTATTTATTACAGTGCATGCTTATATCTTACATTTTTACATTTTCTGCTCATCTTTTTTTGCACTTATGCTTATTTTTTAATACAAAATCTTGACCCCATTTTCCTCTAAAACTAGTAAATGTGGTTTGGCCCACTTTGGCACCAACCCCCTCATTTATAGATATTTGTGAAATTTTAGATTTATATTTCAAATATTTTCAAAGACGCATTTTTCAAAAAGATTGCCCGCAGCCCACTTTCAGAACCTTTTTTTCACTCGTTGAATTCTGAGGCTATGTTTGAGCTGCAATATCTCAGGAAGTATTAAAGATAAAAGCCAGAAATGTTCTCTGCTATTTTTCATCATCATCGTCATTAATTCAGAACCTTTAGAAGCTTCAGACGTCTGTCACACCTGGATTTGTTTTTTGCGGTACAACTTGTCCTAACAGTTACGAAAGTTTAATGAAAATAACTTTTTCTTTCATTTTTATGACATTTTTTATGGCATTTCATATTGAAAAGTATTTCATAGGTTTTGTTTTGATTTATTGTGACACGCGACTACATAGAGTTCAGAAAATATCTCAGGTGACTTCTGCCTGATCTGTTCTTATTTGGGATAATGTCTGCTCAAAGATGAGACTTTTATCGATGGCTCACCCATAATTAGAGATTATTTGATCTGTTTGTCCAAAATTGCAGATTCTGAATCAATGGCATGATGAGAAATAACAGTGAAAATTTCAGGCTTTTAATTGTAACAGTTCCTAAGATATTGTTGTTAAAACAGAGCCTCAAATTTCAATGTGCAAAAAAAACAAAAGAAGTGCTGAAAGTGGGTCAAAGGGCGATTCAAAATGAAATAAATAATCTCTGAAAATGCTCGATGTGTCCATCTAAAATTTCACAAATACCACTTTATTTATCTATAGTTTAGAGACGGTTTGGCCCCTGATGAGTCGAGACAGAATAACCCGTATATCTATTTTTAAAATGAGAAGTGCCTGCTGGAGTTCAAACATCCACCACTGATTGGGAGTCGCTATGGGAGTCATTCTTAAACATACGTACTCACCGGGGACTCGCCATGTCTTGTGGAAGGTGGAACCACTCCTGCAGTTTGGACTCCAAACCCACTCCTACCTGCTCAACAAAAAAACAGAAGGAACCTGTTTATCAACTAAAACATTTCTTCTTTTCTGCTCATTTTATCTGAGCTACGTCTCTTTGCAGTTATTTAAAGTGAAGCACGAGTGGATAAAAAGCCTTTTCCCTGATTAAATCTTCTCCAATCACTTGAAAAAAAAGCTGCAATAAAACAGTTTAAACTTATATAAATGACTCTGAACATACAGACACTCACAACCCACCAATGTTCTTATTGTTATGTGACAACCCAATGAGGGGACATTACCGAAGGCCAAAGTTGGACACTGAGCTCCATCAAGGGATGAAATGACAAAGTGTTTGAGCACGTATTTGTTCAGAAATGATGTTGTAGATTTGTTGGGATTTTCCTCCAGCTGACCAACAAGCAACTTGGATTATATATTCATTTTAGCGGAGTAGAAGCGGAGCTAAAATCATGAGGCTCATTTGATGATTCCTGCTTTGTCTTTGCAGCATGAACGCATGTATTCAAGCTAAAACATCATATTATCACAACAGTGCTGGATGAAAGTGGCTCAGTTGGTCATTTAAAAGCCCTGAATCCTATTTTTTACAATTACCTGTGACTAATTTGAACCCAAACATCCTTTTAAAAAGTCTTTCAAAGTTAAAACCCTTTTGGCAGTTTCACATCAGAGTATGTTTGCAAGCTGCAAAAGTCAGTCTGTGGGTCATCGTGGCTAAATGTGGTCCTTGAGACGTCTACAGCAGCAGGAAACACCTTCCACAATGTCACACATTTAAACGTCTGCCTGTGGATTTGATCAGTGTGGTAGCACTGCAAGTCACAAAACGGTGGAGATCAAGTGAAGTTTGAAGATCAGCGACCGTCTAATTTGGCTGCACCACACTAATCTTAAACTTCTTCATTTTGATTCCAACTCCACACCTGTGAAGTTGTCTGCACCTGTGACACTCCAGTATTGACAAAAAAAATACATAAATCTGTCCACAGACATCCGGCCAGACGAACAAACACCTGTGCTGAACTCAGAAGTGTCTTTGTGCCAGATTCGACTACAATAGTCGTCTACATTTAGCCGCCATGACACACACAGACCACACACACCCACAGCTGCAGACACACTCACAATATCAAACAACACCAGCTGCTCTCGGCGGTTTGAGGTGGGTGAGGCTCAGCTGGAAAAAGAAAAAA